CCCCCCCCCCCTTTAATTGGCTCACTTCGATGTAGGCCAGATGGGAGGAATAGGGTGGTGACAACAAGCTGGCTTTGCCCATCTCATTGGCACGCTACGAATTTGTGCGCTGAGGTTATTCACCAGCGTCTTTGGCACTTATCGGAACTCAAGAAAGAAGCGGGTACCTACACGTTAGATGTGAGTATGTGTAGATATGCTTCAATACGAATTTTAAAACGGTTAATTTAGGGTATGGTCCTATAGACTAAACTTGCTACTGCTTATATAGGCCACATAGCTCACTAGAATTGTATTTTCTGCGAAGTCGTTTTCGTGGAACGCTAGCAAATTTTGACTTTCTTCCCCGGCTGGCGACGACCTAAAGCAGTTAATGGCAACGTAAGCGCACCGGAGAGGGTGCGCCGTTTACCTTAAATTCCAGCAATATTGAAGCTTTTTAAATACACATGGAACTGAGCGCCATAATTATATTTCTCTTATTTCGCAATGTACATGTAATTTTGTGAAATACATTTGTCAACACTTAAATGCACAGAGTCTTGGAGATAGAACTGCGTGAGATTTTTCAGCCTTGGAAATCGCCTTTTATTATGACAATGGGGTGATTATTTTTAGGAAAGTCCATTTGAAGCGCGCATATGCAGGGCCTTCGAATTATCACGATGGCTAGCAAAACATTATCCGAGCAAGTCTAGCCGCTGGACGCCAACACGTCTTGTTGGTGCTAACAGCGGAGGTGGCGATGTTAGCGAGGGAGGCGATGAGAAAACTCCACGAACGCGTCGACGAGACGCTCGACGCGCTGCCCACCGCAGCCAGAAGGGCTCACGACTCACCCAGGAGGATGCGGTTGAGACCGGTGGCGATTCTGCCCACTGGTCAGCTTCTCAAATCGCCAATCAGTTTCTGCACATTACTGGAACCGAAGCAAAACGTTAGTTTGCTCAATGAGAGGTTGCAATCGACTAAAAGGATGAAGCATTGATGCTGATTAGATAATGTTTGCAAAAGTAAAGCAAAATAAGTGTACACTTCAAAAATTAGGTAGAGCAGGTTGAGCTTTAGCAGGAAATTCCCAGATTTTCCTTTTTCAAGCTTTCTAAATCTGATAATAGGATTTTTGTCCTCTATGAACGTACTTTAGCAGTTGGAATAATGAAATTCACCAGGTCTATGGTGGCGGACCCCTTGGTGGTATTTACACGCAGACTTCCTTCTCGATTACCTTATTAAGCCATCTTGAAGCGTTTTTCAAGTTATTACCGTTCGATGTTTGTAATTTAACTCCATTTTAGTAACTTCAAATCCAAACAAGTCAAATTCAAGCAGTTCAAAGTGAATAAAGAAAGCGGTAATATGGAGGTAGTAGTATGCTTGCTTTGGTGGTTAGAAGGACGATTTATCAGTTTATGAAGTTAATGTAAGCAATGCCTGCGATCTGGAGTGCATAGCACAAAGGTCTGCATTTCCCCACTCGTTTGACCTTTTTGAAAATGATTAATGAGGCACTACACATGCATTTTTCTAGTATACAAATTTGGTGGCATCCAAAATGGTGCACATTTAGTTTCCTCTAAAATATTCACCATAGGTATCATTCACTTTATCAACATCACGTCTAGCTAGAAGTGGCCTTTTAAATTTACCCAAAGGACCTACAGAATTGCATGCAATCGCACGAAATGTACACTCATTTAAACGCTCTTCCAAATGCAAGTTACTAAGCGCACGAAAATTGCGCATTTCCCATGTTGGAAATGTTTTGAAGTAGATGTTCTAAAGCACTCTTTAAAATAGGTAGTGGTCAGTTTTAGTGGAATGACAACTCAAAGGGATTGAAAATGATCTTGAATGCCTTTTACCAAAGCACTTAGTAAGTTTCCCACATAGGAACGTGTTGAGAATTCTGTTTCATCTCTTATTTGAGCTTTTGGCAATACCGCCACCGTAAAAGGGATGTAAACGCATGCGTTTCTTTAGTGGAGCTTCTCTGGCTCAACCAACGGTTGCGCATGCATTGCACAAAATTGCTTATTCCTCCCTTACCTGAAGTTCACTTCCGTCCTCCTTGGTGGGCTGTTAGACCCATGCTTTCAAGACGCTGCCTCCGTGAGCCACTGTGATTCCAAAGACTAAAGGGTTGTTTTGCTGAACTGCTACTAGCCTTGTCAACTGTCAATCCCTTAGTTTGCTTATGCGTCGTTATAATTAGTGCAGTGGGGCTTGTAAGTCCCTTCGACTTTTTATTCAAAAAATCATTTTTTCGATTCATTTGGGTTTCATTTGCCAAATCGTCCGTCAATAAGTGACATCTACATGCTCACCCATTGTGTCTGATTGTAAATTTTTGTCAATTAATTTGTAACTACCTCTTGACGTTTATCGAAATTCACAATCGAGAAATAAGTCCTCTTCAATGCTATTGGTCGAGGTGCTTTAATCGTCCTTCCAACTATGTGGAAAATGATCCGACAACGGAAAGTCTAGCGTTTCACTGAACACTGCATCTTGAGTGACAGTAATGCCCTCATGTATTTGGCAAAACTCTTCCAAATAAACCTCCAAATCCTTTACATCTGCCTCCTACATGCTACCACTAAATGTACCCAAAGAAAAGTTATCCGTTTTTGCAAAAATTGTACGGAGGCTGAATTTAGTGATGGAATTGTTTTTTCAAAAAGTCCATTTGTGGTTGGGTAAAGGAACGCGCAGGCATAAAAACGTGACGAATTTTTATCCTCAATACCACATATAAGGCGTCTTCACGTCCCCACACAAACTGTATTTTAAAATACAAAATTATGTGATTTTGGTACCCTTTTTAAGGCTCTCTGCCTAATACATAAGGATAGTTCTTAAAGGTGAAGTTAAATGACCTTTTAAAATGTCCAAATTCATGACTTATCTGTGAGCTGCTCATGGTATCACATCCCAATGGTAATTCTGGCTTTTGTTTCTTAAACTGCCTAGTCTAGCTGACAGCGGGAAGAATGGGAAGTTTTGACAGACCCGCACAACATCAATAGCCTTTCGGTTCTCAAACAATGATTCAACTTTGATTTTTTGATTCTCCATTTGCCTAATATTGCATCTTCCCTGATGCCTTTGCCCTATTACGAATTGGAACGGTAAACACTTGTCAGAGTGAGAGGAATTTCATTTAACATAAAATATGGCAAATGATCATTAATGAAGTTTACAATCCTTCAACTAATTCGCCAGAATTTTATTATGAGGACGTTCAGAATCCTTACTCAAAATCGGCAATCACTGGAGAATTTGCTGCTCTAACGCAGTACGGCTTTTTGCTTTCATTTTTTTGTTGGTTTTTTAAACAAATTACATTATCTTCAAGTGCATTTCCTCTCTATGCTCAGCATTTTGAGCCACTTGAACTCACAAAGGCGACACAAATATCATATGAAGGATGGGTTTGATTTTATGGTTAACTGAAATCTGACTTTGGCAATGAGACACCCTCATAATTAATACTAGGGAAGTTGGACTTCTCCTACGATATTGTAGTTGTTGCGCTCTGACTTGATCGATTCGCCGTTTTAGGATGTCCATGGTAGTTTAAATAAAGCATCTCGAATTTTAGGGCGTACACATCTTGGCCTACAAACACTCTTGGTTTTTTCTACAAGGTGTGTATATGGTTGTACATATGTGTGTGGGTGTGATGGGTGGTGGGGATGAAGCCTGGCTGTCACGACT